CAAATGTCAATTTGACGTTAAGCGTAGATAAAATCTAGTTATTATCGTTAGTTAATAAATAAACTGTCTTCAACGCTCGCTGATTGAATTACAGTGATTAAGTCACTAATTCATTTAAAAACATACCTAACCTTATCTTCGTTAGTTGCGCTTCTCATCATGGCTAAGAAGAGGCTAGATGGAGTAATATGTATGACAAAAGTGAAATCAATTTATTATTTAACAACGTTGAAGAGGTTTTAATGACTTTACTATAACCTACCTCCCACATGCTCCCGAATTAATATCTACTATCTCATCTACATTATGCTTAAATAAAGGTTCTATTAGTATATAGGTACCTGTGGGTCTTTAAGTGCTAAAAACAAATAAGCTTACGACATTACAGCCTAATAATTACGTAGGTAATATTACGTATCTACCTACTTGTTATACTTTTCAGTCGTACAGAACAATCATTGGTATATAGACCAATGTCAAATATCGGGCCCAATTTATGTATGTAATGACCCAGTTATCGTATTTTGGCCTATATCCATTGACAGTAGTGTGGATGTCATCCTGACATACCCGTGGTACTCCACATGCTTTACTATTTCGATCTAAAGTGTCACGTTTCCGTACCCTTTTCTTTCAGACTACTCTAATGATGTTAGCCACAGCTGGCCATTACAGCTTCACCGGACGATAGAGGGCGACCCCTATCATCCATGGCCAATCCCAAGTACTATCTGTAATTCCAAACTTCAACACAATTAGTTGACTGGTTAAGGTGTAATAACGTAAAAAAATTCACATATGTATCTATGATATTAATTAGGATTACATAATTTTCCAAAAGAGGATATTGTTCTGGCTGTGCTCTATACTCTATCGTTAATAGTACCTAAACAATTACAACTCATTTGATATGGTTATTAAATTAGAGTTTTAAATCCAAATATTATAAGATGAAAATTGCTATGGCAGAAAGGAGTATACGGTTCTCTATATTTGATCTTGTCCAGAACCTAAAGATAACCGAAGTCGGGTGTGAAAATGAGTCAATTTCTTGACTTAATATTAACAGTTTGGTTAAACGAACTCTTATACATGTAAGCCATGTATATAATATACATAGGAATAAATGACTGACTCGGGCTGCAATTTCAGTGTCTTTTGTTCTTTTGTCCATTAGAGATACGGCCCGACTTCACACGGGTCTAATTATTGCAAAGATCTCAATTAAAAAAACATTTCATCTCTCTACATATAACCTTCAACAAGAAATTTTTTATAAAATCAGTCAAGAATTTATTTTAGTTTGCAATAAAAACAAAATATAAGTCTGCTTTTTATTAGTCCATAACGATACAGCAGAAGATATCTTGCTGGTATTCGTTTTTATTTCTTTTATTCTATATGTATGTATAACCATTAACACAATATTTGTAATATATCCACGAATATTTCACCCCTCCATAGGTCTATTTTTAGAGACATTTTGTATATAAATGTACATAGCTACGTATGCTGAAAATGCGTTACAGTTGTCTTAATTAAAATAAGTAATCAACAGCTTTATACACTGACAAGTTGATCTATGTAGCTGTTATCATTTATTTGATAATATAATAAGTTTTATATATGGAACAATAACTTAACGCGGATTCAAATGATAACTTAACCTTTAATTAAATTAATTTGTATTAAGTAGATCAAATTACATCGGAAAGTATTAAAAATTAATCTATATGCCCAAACTATAAAAAATATTTAATTTAACGTGACGCCCCAGTCTTCTCCATTTGTTATTCCTGACAGGGTCTTTGATATATTTTCTAGTATATAAGAAATATTGTAACATATAATTGGATTCAATATGTATTTGAATACATTTGAATCTTTATGCTATAGAAATGTATTCAACACAACAGCAAATAATAACTATGTAGGTTTTAGTACGTTTACGCTTTTATAAAAACGACCATTAATAAATTAATAACGTTTAGGGTCAAAATAGTGTGATACTCTTTTATATTCTTTCTAGAAAGTGTTTTACCACATTATAAAAGGGTCGATTCACATTTTGGAACTAAAATTGTTGTTGTAAAATTATGTAATTTCTGCATTATATTTTGATTTTTTAAACAATTAAATTTTAATATTTATGAAGAACTTACTTTCTTATTAATACGTTTAATTTTGATGAATAAAAAGTACTTGTAACTTTAATATAAGACATGAACGTATTATCTTAAAGTTTACAGGTACTTTTTATTCATAATACAACAGTACTCTTTTTATGTAATCATTTAAAACTATATTTATATGTTTTAAAATTTGCTAATTTAATTATTTTATTGAAAGAAAATACAGAAATTCCTAATGAACAGCTTAACGTAAAATGTACTTTTACAATGGAAACAATCTCATCTTTTTAATTGGAACTGTCTATATTCCAGATATTACTTAATATTGATGATATTAGTCTTCTGATACACAGTCGTTGCGGTGCACTCAAACTAAAGTCGTCAAGGCAAGGCGCTTTGACGACTTTAGTCTGACTGCACCGCTAGGGGTTCGTACGCGGCTTGGGCCGTCGCGCGCGGTAAGACCGACTGTATATCAGCCGCCTTAGTTATATATTGACATCGTTAGGTAACGATCTAAATTAGAATTAAACTGGCGTCAATAGGTGTCACTTGCCTACATTAGTTTTAGGTACTTTTGTAAATAGCGAATGTCGCCTACTATATTATTGTCAATGTTTTCTTAATAGGTAGGTATATTACAACATACGAAATGCTATATATTGTTGGCTAAACGGCAGAGAGGGTAGTTGAGACCGTTCAGTCAAGATTAGTGAAAGTTCTTACTTTTTAATATGTTCTATTTTTAAAATACATTACTTTTTTTATTTATGTACAACACTACAATAAACAAGCGACGTTTTCTGGACCCTTGTAGTCTCATCTACCCTCACTTGTCTATGGTCAACATAATCTAATACTCTGTATAATTACAATATGTATCATACAATGTAAAATCTATTGAGAGTTTATAAATTCTGTGTAATAGCGTTTGTAATAAAAATTAAATATATTAAAAACGTTTTGTTATTTATTTTGTGCATAAAACTTTATTTACAGTATGTAAACAGAATTTACAATTAACCTATAATAAATTAGTGCATAAAAATTATTATAAGCAACGACGACCTTGGTGGTCTAGCGGTTTAGCAGACTTCCGATGGTCGCTAGTTCGATTCCTCGCACGGTGCAATACGTATAATATTAAGTTGATTACGAAAGTTAGTTGCTTAAAAACTTACATGGGTCCGACTTAATTATATTTAATGTACCTAAATATGTATATATTCAGGTACATTTCCCAGAGTAAACTTTACTTTGTGTAAGTATATCTGTCTCGCCTATTTTTGCCGCCAAGAAGCGTATTTCGCAAACTGTGTCCCAGTTTGAAGAGATAATAATGCTAGTAACATTAGAGAGTAAGGAAATTGGGAAATTATTTTTCATTACGAATAGAATGGTAAACAATTCAGGTGTGGACATCTATAGATGTTGACATCTGAGTTGTTTTGATCTATACATATATCAGCTTACGTTCTTTCACCACATCTTATGAAAGACGGCAGGGAAAAAAAAATATAATGTAAAAACTTGACGTTCATAAGCGGCTAAAATGTCCTACATGAATAAATGATTTTTGAATTTGAATTTATACGTTCTGAAGAAAGTCTTTTTAAATTTTAATAATATTTTTATTATATTTAGCAATGAAATTAACTTTTGTCAGTCTCGTACAATTAAGTATAACTCTGATATTTTCTTGCTTATAAAGACTTTTAGTCGTCGGCTTAATATGAATCCTGACGGCGTCAGACCGATCGAGAGTGTTAAAGAAAAACAATAAGTTTTTTTTTAAGAATTTTATTATAACAAATAGGATGTTTTCGTTAATAATGAATATTTACACATAAGTAATATTCTTAAGAACTTGATAACTAGATTCATTTTGTATGTTTGAGCACAACAATCAACATCGCCCGTACATTCCCCATAAGTCCTATAATATAATAGTTACTGCCTTTGTACATAAAAGTAATATAAGTCGTAATGAACCATTTAGGTTTCGTTCGTTTCATAATTATAATGATACCATAAAATACTCTAAAAACGATAAGGGGGACTCAACAATCCTGAAATCACGAAAAAACAATTCATATCTAGTATAAAGTAACGTTGGAAAACAATAGAATAATAAATTAATAACAATCGAAAAACCGTTTACAAACTATAATATGAAAATATCAGAAATTCAAAACAAGTACAGACTAGCATTGTGGGTACTTAAAACTAAATTATTTTATAAACAAATCTATAAAATATATTATAATCGGGAACGCATCGCGCCGTCAGATCGTTATTTTGGTGCGGTATCGATGCGACGCTGGTATATTTCTAGCGCGATATTCCGCACCGGCGTAAAATAAACTGTAAATATAGAAACATGGCGGACGTAGGCTCACCGTGACGTTATCGGTCACGTTCAAAAATATTATACATTTCCCGCCCTTTAGCGATTGTCTTGCCAATAATGAATTTAACAGATACGTGCCGTGCCACCTTCAAACTTCCGCCAAGTTTCTGCTATTTGGAAGTTCCCTTTGTCTTTTTCTTGTAGCCTTGTTTAATTAAAATAGACAATTAACCACCTTATTTGGGAAACTGAAACTTCCCACAAAACCATTTTAACTGTTGTAGTGTTTCGTCCCATTCTTTCACGTGAAGGAAATAGCTCGAAAGAAAAGATCAAAACAGTTCAATTGCTAAAATCGGTTTGTTAGGCGTCTGAAGTTTTTATGAATAAGGGCTAGATTAAATATAATTGCTACTAAAGTGTATAACACAGACCAAAGTTTTTATTATACGATGTTAATTTGGTTCTTATATAGTTCATAACCATTTCTTATTTCCGTCGTGTAAACGTCGTGTTACAACATTTGATAGTTCGAGAAGTCCTTAAAGGCTAAACTTTATTGATGTTGTTTTATAATAAAAATTGAATTAAATAGGTGTGTCAGTCATAGCTTAACCTATAGCAGGTTATAATTATATCTCTAAGGGGCCAAACAGGTACTTCGCTTGACAACTGTCGGTGGTGTCACCTAGGAATTGGGCGAAAAGTTCTTGATACCTGGATACCGTAATGCCACCTTTCTTTCTGTCATCGTCCTGAAAAGATGAACATAAATGCTTCATTAATTTTAATGTTAATTAAAACATTTGTGTGTACTTTTTTCTGTAAATTAATTATGGATACAAATTCAACGGTTACGGGTACTTGTTATTTGACTTTTGTAATACCTAAGTCTATTTGGCTATGAACATCCGTCTAAGGCGTCTCCTACCGGTAACTTTAAACATTCTTGAACGTTATATCTCGTTATATTTCGTTAATCTTTTGTTAACCATTTTGGCTACTGGTTGACTCAATTACCCTAGACCCGAATAAAACTAAAAATAAGTCCATCAAATTAAAAATACATCTAGGGCTCTATATAAATAAATACTCATTTGATAATTGCTCACGATAAATTACAATGGAATGTAAGAAAAGATCAGGAAATGGGTCTTTAAAGAAACAATTGAAGAATTCTCTTGGTTCCGAGCCAAGGGGAAAGTTGTCTAATGTTTTTATTAGTTTTATTACGCTACTGTGTCCCTTGTTAACGCGTGTGGTAATGCGCTTATCTGATATACTATTATTTATGTGGTAATTAAATTATGAGCCTGCTGTTTAAATCTAACATTTATATATGAACATGTTTTTTTTTCAAAATACATGAATTGATTTGTTGAATAAAATATTATGAGTAAAAACTTTATTGTTATGATTAACCAATTTCATTCAAATTACGAAAATAAATTATTTTAAAAACCAACCAAAAGATTGTATCAGCTAAAACTTTCAGATTAAAAAATGCTATAGTTGTGAGACATATAATTGGTTTAATACACGTTTAAAGTTTATATGAAATAGTCGGTTTTTTTCTAATATTATATACAGATGCATGCAATAAATTGCAGCATTTTTAATGGAGAAGTCAATTTACCATATTATCTTCATTTATGTAAAACTTTAAATGTAGTTAAGTCAGAAAATCCATCAAAATATTGTAGCCAAGTATAAACAAATACAAGGTGTTACAGGTGTCCATAAGCCACGATATCCATAAGGCGGGCTGTATACTTGTAAGACGTTTTCGTATAAAAGAAATTTACAGATTTTACGAAGAATAAACAATTCTAAAAATTTTTAAATACATATCGATTGTGACTAACAGCGTTAGACCATAAATACACGCGTAGGTTTTATATCAATAACGATGAGGTAACCGACATGTAATAATAGAGTTCACACCTAGTCTATGGCTACAGATAGTTAATCGCTTCATAGTATAAATAATACAGAATCACTTGTGTACTACGAGGTATTTATTTTTAAATGATATTGGATTGGTTAATTCGAGCACCTAGATTCACGCCACATCAAAGCTTTGTCTAGCCGATCACGTTCGCTGTCTCTCAAATAAATTTACGATCACTTCTCTATTTTACGAAAGTATTCGCACAACAAAAGACTGTGGACGCATTACGTTGGGTTGAAGGCCAATACTATTGTAAAGCGACACAATTGTTGGCCATCCATCAATAGATTGGGCATTCGCATCTGCTTCCTGATGTTATAAATGTTTGCTCCTTTAGCGTAGGGATGAGAAAAGTAATCGATTATGAAAGTAAATCGAATAATTAATTCAGATTTTTCGTTAACGATGTTTTCATCTTACCTAAACCACTTAGTTGGATTAAAAAATCGTCTAAAAACAATTCTAATATTTACAGTCAGAAACATGATAGTGTCTTAAAAACCACAATAAATTAGTGATCTAAATTTAAAACAAGAACACTCTCTAGTCAAGAGGCCTAATAATCAATTATTTTAAGAAAATTAACAATTATTAAATTTTTTATCGGTTATTATATTTAACAAAATAATCGATAAATAGTATTATTTTATACAGGATGACACATCCCTACATTAGCACAACGTAGAACATCTACGAGCACCAAGTAGAGAGGTCTACGCAGACGAGGGTTAGCCCTCCGCGTATGTTTTTGTTCATTAATGTTACATTGAAGAAAGACATATAAGGTTATAAAGTATAAAAATAATTACAAGTATTGTAACTTTTAATAATAATCATTTGAACAATTCACACAGAGCCATCTAGTTCCAACCTAAGCAGAGCTTTTGTTATGGGTGAAGGTTGAAGCAGTCAGTCAGCCCCATGGTAAGTTAGCTAGAGCTTGTATTATGGGTACCAGACAACGAATATAGATACATTTTTCTTGTAAGTACACACATAAAAACAACCAGACTAATACAAACAATCATACTCATGAATACAAATATGTGTACCATGCGAGGAATCCAACCCACAACGATGGAAAATAAAGCGGCGTGCTAAACCACTACCACCGAGGTCGTCAATAAATCTTTCATCTTCAGACAGGTAGTACAAAATGAGCTAGTAAAATGGGCTGTAGATATAATTAGAGATCTCGACTAGCGAGAATTCTTTTCTTTCACCACTTACAACAATAGTAGAGTGAAGATTCCGTAATATTGTAAAATACTGATTGCATGCCAAATTGTATCGTTAATAGATCCTTTTAGAGTATATTATTCATCACTAATTGGAAATTCAAAATATTCTTGTGAAGGCATTGTCAGTAAGCAATAGGTATAACCTCTCATGTGTCCATGATTCCGGGACTGTCGTTGTAATAAATCCACGTTTGATGCTATTGCCAAAACTTGCCTTTAGCTACAAGCCGCAGAGCAGTCGGTATTTCGAGAGCCGTGTAAACCATGGAATACTACTTGGTATACATCTGTTTCATTTAAATGAAAATCAACCGTAACTATGTAGAAACAAGATTGTTTATATAATTTATTACCTGTGCACACGTGCCATTGGTGTTAGTTCTAGTGACGCCTACAGATATGATGTAAAAAATATAAAGTCTGAAGATTATAAGACGAATGTAACTATTAACAATTACAGGTGGTAAAGTAACAGACTCCTCAGCGGATGGCAAACAATTAAAATAGTTTAATTGCAACATCGACAAGGTTTTATAAGAAGCATTTAGGTTTCTTAAGAGTCAGCAACGCGCACGTATCACCCCTGGTGTTTCAAACGTCCGTAGGCCACGGCAAGGCAACCGTTTACCATTACATGGACTGTAGGTATAGTTGTTTGCCAGAGTTGTAGCTAAAAAAACGTACAACTTACAAGTTATTAACATTTAAAAACCATACTCTTTTTAATACTTCAGTACCTACTGTAATCTCTAAAAGAATTCATTCCGCGATAATAATCTTCGCTGGTAGAAATTTTCCTGAATCCACATTCTAATTTTGATTTTTATCATTGTCAATAATATATCATGTATTGCATTTTCAATAATATGTGATAATTTCTGTATCCTACCTACACATTTATGGTAAAAGAAATCATGTAATATGAGTATACTTACATTTAACAGTGAGCTGAATGCGTCGTCAATAACTTTGATCTCTTCCACGACCATTCTCTGAATACAGTCGTACCGGAACTCTTCAATGCCGATCACACCGTCTTGGTTTATGTCGATCGTCTTGAAATTGGACTCGATAAACGCCTTCAATGCTTGTGGGAAGTCGTCGTACTTCTTACCTACACAGCTGTTCTTGACTGCTTGTTTGAATTCGTCCACTGTGATCATGCCGTCCTGTAATTCATTTCTATGTTACTTTTATGGATTTCACTGTGAATATAAAGAGAGGGATGCGTGTGCAAGAGCTCAGTGTAACTTGTATCATGAATAAAATTTATAAAGTACGATTTAGTAATTGTATTTTTGAAATAAAGGTTACAGTTTGAAATTTTAATGACATCAATATAATATGAGTGTGCTTTTTCTGACATATGGAATATGTGTTCTATATACGAAGAAAATAGTAGGTATTTCCTGTTCATATTTATGTACAGGTCAGTCCAAGGATATTTTATATCGATAGGGAACCGGGGTGCTCGCGAGGAGAGGCTGTACCCTAATCAAATGGCCACGGATTGAGTAGAACAAAAGAATCCCACACACCGCCTCGTTCCCTCACCTGCAGAGAGAAGGTCTTTTGAAGATTTTTCCACACGATTAAAAAATGGATATTCTAATGTAAACGTAATACTCGACCTATACTGATACCGCTGAGTTCCTATTGGGTATACAGCATGGTAGGTCGGCCATTTCTGTTCTATTAGAGTAGTAAAGTTCCAAACAGTATAAAAACCTGTAGTTGAATTCGATCGGGTTGATTTCGTGTGTCGATGTGGTTACGTTCTTTATAGACCAGTCGATCAAATCAAAGAAATGCCTATTCCAAAGAAATGCTATTTGAATTCTGATGTGAAATATAGCGTAGATAAAATTAAATGCCAGGCTTCGGAAAGAGAGGTAACATGTACCAAAATTCATACATAATGTTGAACATCTACCTTACTTTTACATAGCAAAATATTTAAAATTACTAAATAATTCATAAGTAAACATTAATCGACAACACCGATTTAATTATTTTTAAAGCAACATGCCTCTTACAACATTTAATTTTGGTGCTAATTTAAAACTAAGCGTGCTCTACTATCACTACAAGACTACAGCTGCGTGCAAACTCCATCTATTTAATAACTGTTAGCTTATTATAATAATAATGTTCATTATATTTTTAAATACCTTAAAGAATAAGGCATTGATATGTCTTGGGAATAAGGAAGCGATCCTTGCTCGTAAAGATACAAAAAACGTAGGTTCGTAACATTCAGTCCGTACCTCGACTATTGTCAATTGAAGTGACCTTTTTTGACGAATCTGCTTTATCGTGATAGGTCAATTTAAGACTAGGTCTTCCCCAGTCTATGCGTATTTTCATCTACTCGTGTATATTTGTTGTATCGTCTTCTCATTGGATATTCTCTCCAGCAGCATGCAGTTTGCTTTTATAATGTAAATTATATCGAGGTTCTACATAAGTCCGCATTTAAGGTTAGTAGCATAACTATGATACGAAACATCTATTTCAATACCTACGGTTACTTTGCATTCTTCACGCCTTTAAAAATCCATCGCAACATGAACTCCTAATAGCGGATCACTAAACTTGTGTTTTTTATACTTACATAGCCTTGCCACTGCCGAATCTAGCAGCTACAGTTCTGCTAATTAGAAATAAAACTAATAATGCATTACATCTAAACATGCCCGCCATTTCTGCGACATCCGGCCATCTTAAGAAGCTGTTAAACCAGTCAATCGTGTGATTCGTGCCAATTGCCAGCGTGTAGCTTCTGAAGCGTGTATAATGTATGGAGGGGGATAACCGACATAGTCTGGAACCTTATCGAAGTCCGCCAGCTGGGTGATCTCCTCCCAGAGACTGAGCATGATGTGCTGGTACTTCTGCAGACGCGCTGCGCTGCAGTCGCCCTTGCCCTCGAGCACGCACGATCGCAGCGCAAGGCATTGGAAGTCGTGCGAGTCTAGATAACCGTTGTTGTCGATATCTGTAATAATAATTTGTTACTCATCAGAATAGCATGTCTTCTGTGACCAGTCCGGTGCTTTTTGTAAGAAGTACTTCATTACCCAAGTGTACACTTTAATGTTATTATTCAGAAATGATAAGTTCATACTTATAAATACATTACGTATTACAAATTAAATTATCTTTATTCCTGTAGATCTATTACAGACTCTTATGATGTGTCAAATCTACAGTCCATTCCGAGTGCTATCGAGCAAAGAAGAGATGACAAGAAACTCAGCTCTTGTTTTTTTCAAATAAGCTATACATAGTTAAAATTGCATTAATTTTTATTAATAAAATTGTAATAGTTTTATTAGAGTATATTATTTAGTAAATTTAATATTTCTACTTAGATATTATATCTTATTTTTAACGAGGCAAAACATGGAGAAGTTAAGATCGTAGACAATAAACACAATTGCTAGTATGCTCCCAACGCGTCTTGAAAATCCTCGAATAATAGCTAGAAGAAACACAAAACTAAAACATTACAGTTTAATCTAAATAGTATATTTTATAATTCTGTTTACACTCATAAATCTAAAGAATTCTGGTAACATCTGCAACAGGTACGAGTACGTCATCTGCATTTCTGGTTTTATTTCATGTGCGCACAGTTACATTACTGTGTGTGTATGACATTGTAAGAGAGACATTTTCAATTGCCGATCAATGTCGCAACCGTGTGCCGCCGTCCAGTTGGCGGGTAAACAATAGTATCAATTTAATTATAGCTCCCATGCCAAGAGTTACCATTGACTTTCGCAACATGACTTTTCGCTTTGTGCGAGACGACACAGTACGAGGATCTTTCAGAATGAGTGACAGTGGCAACAGGTCTGTCTCAATATCAACGAGTAATTTGTATTAATCGTGATATATGTATAAGTTAATAATAATCATCAAAACAACTCATTAATGTTCACTAATGATATGAGACATTTCAGTAATATTGCGGAAAACTTATTTTGGGACGTTACCGGATATCAGTCTAGTCTAGGTACAATAACTACTATGTTAATCTACGGAGTAGTTGACAAAACTGTTCAAGAGTAGATTTAATAACATATATACATTAGAGAGTTTTAATTCGTGTTGACTTTTTTCATCAATGTATTGTGCATTGTACCCCTAGTTAAATCTTACGATATTCTTAGGGAAGGAAGAGCGATGATACGTACTACGGCTCTTCACATTGCTGTGTCTTTTTTGCTATCCCAGTGATATAAAAAAATCAGCTCAGACAAGAAAAAAAATAAAACAAAGCACCACTGCCAAAAGCATAATGTGGTGTGCATAATTAACAAGACGATCAAATCACAAATGTTACTATACGGTTTAAAAATAATCGGTCACGCAGCTATTACGATCGACGTTGAATTAGTTGCTTGCTGCCAATTATAAGTCTTATTTTAATTTGATCTAAACTCATTACGAATTATTTATATTGTTAACCGGGTCTTAACACGGATGATTTCATGGTAAACAGAAAGAGAGAGAGAGATAAATTATTTACCTTTATTTACCATAAAATTATTCGTGTTAAGACTCGGTTAACAATATAAATGATATATACTAAATACGAAAGTTTAAAAATATTCCTTATCCAATACATTTTTGAGCATTCACTGTCATAGCAGGATACTTGGAAAAAATTATACCTACATTAGAAAACATTTAAATAAATCTTTTTCCTACAGACTGAACTTTAACTCAAGTTACACAACCATCCGTGTAGACAATCCGCTGTCTGAAGAAGTAACCCTATTATTATCCAGTTTTGTTGTTATTTTTTAAATTTATTTAACATTCCTTTTAGTATACGAGTACTCTATGTACATGGCGATAGAAATATGCAGGTAATACAGATATATTTTTCTTTATATTACTGCACCTTGCATGTGTGTGCACTTTAACGCAAATAATAAAATAATAAGTTTAATCTATCTATGTATACTCAACAGACGAATTTGAACCTTTTGAACAAAAATTACTTCGACGTGCATGTACCTTTAAAATCGCCTTGTCCATGTGAGCTTTCAGTCGAAATTTTACTGAGCTTGTTAATTAGTAGGAGAAGTCAAGCGTAAAACGCTCGTGTTATTGGCAAACATGTGATATTACTAGCTACCATGCCGATATGAATCATTATCCTTATTGAAATTTGTGAATCCGAGTAGGTAAATGACAAATAGTTAATTATAGATTACGTTAATTTATACTATCTCTAATTAATGCGCTTTTCTAAGTTATTTGTTTCAGTTAGAATTATAATAGGTACTTGTAGAATATAAAATCTGGGAGACATGTTGTCTTGTTAGCGTTTTAAATTAATTTATTACATGGTGCATATCAGGGATTTCTATTCATATCTATCTTCTCGGTCGCAGTGGTCTAGCAGTTTAGCACATTGCTCTACTTCTCATAGTACCGAGTTCGATTCATCACACACATCAATATGATTAAATTGATTGATATTGGTGTTTTCTATATTTATTAAATTATCCATGTATTTACAAAAGTAGAACCAGCTCAAAGGTAGAAAATAGTATAAGCTGCTGTGTGTCTGTGAATTGTCCTGAATTATTATTATTGGTAGATATATATATCTATATATTTTATTCTTACATTTATTTAGGGACTTTTATCATAATATGATAATGCCAGTCTTGGCATATAGATATTATGGCTCTCTTTTATAAATTGCTAAATAATGGTTGTACCTACATCCCCCGCTACGGCCCAGATAAGAGGCTAAATGCGGATAATAGTATCCAACATACAATACTATTGTGGTTGCCCCTTAATTGATTGCTTAGTTTGACTAAGCAATCAATTAAGGGACGACGTAGTGACGAGACTTGTTCTAGGCATAATATTCGATCATTTTGAATTTCATCCTTAATTGTTTTCATATACGTTTAAAATTGTAGATGTTATTACCTACCTTATTTATTCATTTAAGTTCTACATGTAGTCGGAGATGTAGAATAAAAAGTACATATGTTTTGTCAAAAAACCACTTCCATTCTTGGTTCTGAAATAGTTTGGGATCGTGGACTTTAACTACGTTACCGTTTTCAAGAAAATACTGCATAACAAACATATAAGAAAATGTATTTTATCAAGAAGGTCCCTCTAGAAGTTTGGATTTCCCGATTGGATGGACATGGTATAGATTCCTCTTTGACCGCCCAGAGCAGTGAAATCAATGCAAGTCTAATTATAACTTCCAAACAGATACTCTCTACAAAAGTTTCGATGTAGATGAGCAGTTAAATATTTTTAGACTCTGTTCCCGTGTAATTCCTATAATAAAGTTATCAATGGAAGCATTCCAGCGTTGCACACACATTCCGCATCGTTCCACAACGTCAGACACTGATGGATTTATCTTTGTAAAATACATAAAAAAATAAACTTGGTTCCCATCCAATCCTACTACGAGGTGTGCTCAATTATCTTAACACAAATAAAATAATCTAAGAAACTATAACTAATTTAAAAAGAATTGAATTTGTTTATAGAAATAATTTCAATTATAAACTTCCATGACTAGATTTGGAAAAATCCAGTAAGTGTAAACTGTAAAAATAAAAAAAAAGGAAAATTATGAAAAATAATTTAAATTATAAACTTCCCAAATAAGAAAATAGGTAAAAATATTCGGTTTTAGTTGTGTATATATGAGAAACAATATACAGTTTTCTTTAATATTTTGAGGTAGTTATTTTTGCGCCTTAACTTTTAATTTAATTAGTTATCTCTGTCTACACGATGGGACTAGGTCTTGTCATATGCACCAAGGAGCCTGACGTGTTAGACGGATACTGTTATATTGGTATTGCAATATTTTTAAGAACTAGCAATTGGTTATAATAACTTACCGGTAGGTAGATAAACACGAGCTTTTTAAACTTTTTATTTTTATTATTTCTAAGCTTTAAATTTAACAAGATTAATGTTAGACATCAAGTTGAAAAAAATTATAAATTTGAACATATTATTTACATATTAAAAAAGAAATCAATCAATTATCTATTAGCCAATTATCTGGTAAAAGGTCCTATAAACCAATTGGGTAGTGCACCATACAACACGAGGACTTACCATAAAGATATCGGACCACGAACGCGACCCTGTTGTCCCATGTGTATGCCATGTCGATTAAAACTTTACGACTACACTCTATGGATTTGAGAGTATGTTAGCGAGGCAAGGAGCGCGGCGGCGGTCGCTCGGCGACTGCCGCCCGCCGCCTGCGCCACCCTGCTCTGAATAAACGAAATAAAATAATATTACTAGCTCATTGTACGTCACACTACTATACCCTAAATATACGGCGACTAGGTAACTAGGTATTGACATCAGATGGGGCTCGGATGCGCTTGACCTGGGCTAAGCTGTCTCGGTATGCCCATTTGAGTCATGCAAGCTTTTGTATTAAGAAACGGTACTTTCATATTAATTTTATTTCCAAAGGTGGCTAAAGTATTTTTCAATTGACTCCAAAAAAAAAGGTACTGAGCTTTTGTGTATTCACCTATTAAAGTGCGCAGTATCTTCGCCAATTTCAAATCGATACACACAAAAGTTCTATTCGGTTGTACCTATTTCTGCTGTTTTTGTATACACATTTATGTAAAGGTTATTTTTATTTTTAAAATTTAAGTTTTTCTATAGGACACGAATAAAACAAGGTTGCGGCTCACCTAATTGTGATTTTTTAATTATTATAATGGAAAGGTCTCTCGCCTGCGATAACGTATAGGCTGGCGGAGCACAAGTTTTGTATGGAGAGAGGACTGGGACTCCTTTAAAAATTTTCGTGACTAACTATATTTACAGACTATTTGCTACTGGTAAGAAATATACAACTACTGCAAGAGAAGTGCAAATTATTAACAGTGTATCCACTATAAATCGGTCCAGCTACAGCAACCTTAGTAAAAGCAAGCTGGCAGCCCACCTGGTGGTAAGTAGTAACGTTCGCTAAATGCCTACCATACATGACCAGCACTATGAATATCACGTTATCATGTGACGCCCGTGACACCGCTCATCCGTTGGCATTCGAGACTTCCGGAGGACTAAGATGTCATGTCTCTTATGCTGTAATTTCACTGCATTATCGTAGTCTAAATTACGACCTTAAATGTCCTTAATAGCTGGTTCCTCTTTAATTTTTAGTAGGTGTTGTCTGCCATTTCAAGCTGTTCAATTATAAGTAGTTGGAATTATCGGATTAATGTCGGCGATAGACTCGATAGTCTAGTGGTTTAACACATCGCCTTAATTTCGATGGTCGCGTGTGCCATCCTGCTCATCATTCAAACATTTAATCATTGATGTTATTGTTTGTATTGTTCTGAGTGTTTTCAATATAAGTTATATAGTATTGTATGTATTGATAAAAAAAATCAGTAAGGCTATAAAATAGGCGGTGAATGTTTGTACAGATGAAAACGCGGATTAGCAGCTAGTGTAATATATAATATTAATATGAATCCATTGTAAAACAGAAATAAATATTAATTCTACTATTTTTAGCAGCTTTAATATTTTGTGTACAATGAATTTTCTTAATGAAATATTTATATGAAAAATAAAATAAAAGATATTTTAAGAAATAAACATCATTATGAAAGTCTTATAAGTTTAATTATCTTTTTATAACTTAATAAATAATCCTAATTAAATTTAAGTTTCATTAATTGTCCATTACGAATTAATTTAAATATCACTTTGATAGTTCCCGAGCAATACTCTTCAGAGCCTCGGTTTGTTCTTTCATTAATTTTAGTTTTTGTCTCAAGTAATCCTTTTTGAAATTAAAATAGTCCTCTTTTAAGTCTATTTTCCGTTGCTCCGAAGTAGCTAACAGATCACAATTGGCGAAACAGTTATCAGAATGCTTAGAACTACGTTTTGAGCTTTTCATTTTACGTTTATTGTCTGTGGTGGGAGTAAACACTTTAACTTCAGGTGGAGATTCTGGTTCACTGAACGAAATAGCTGATTCCATTTCATTCTTGTAGTTATCCATTGAATTGTCCTGATCCATCTGGACGAATTCTGTAGTCTCTTGATAGCTGGTTGTTGATGATACGTTTTTGAGACCTAAAGCTTCCTGTTCTGCTGGTGTGAGCATCATCGCAGATGATGGCACTTCACCATTGATTTCAGCTTTCCTCTTAGTTTTTGAACGTAAATCCTGCCACGTCTGAAAAATAAGTAAATAGCTTGAATAATGACTATAATTATATTCATCAGATATTTTATGAAAAAGTAAACTGAGCTAGAGTTCGTAAAGTCTTTTGCTTGGCACGTCTATCTAGCCTATTTCAGCTACCAAGCAGCTTATCTTATAAAACAGGGAGTTTAGAATAAGATTTTAGTCCTTCAGAATGGCAATGCATAAGGGATACATGTGTGATATCCATGATGCTGTTCATGTATATATCTGGTTATCTCTTCAGGCTTTTTGTCATTTCAATTATATACAAAAAGTAACAAATAACTATGTATATTTATATTTCTCTCTCTCTAGTAATTATCTGTCAAATATATATATTATAATCCATATAGATTGATACATCTACACACATGCTCTCATTACTTCCATAACAATATTGTAAATGTATGTATGTCTGTCTAGCTGTTCATTTGTTACTTTTTCACAACTAAATGGTTGAATAAATCTCAATTAAATTTACCATGAAAGTAAACTATAATATCAGGATTAACATATGCCATCTATAAAAAAAATAATAACAACTTCCTGTTCTTCAAAACTAAAGTCGCTAACAGAACTGATTGATAGTAATAATAAGTTTCTTGTCACTTTGTCTCCACAACATCTTTTCAAGAGATGTAGCTAACCAAATAAGCCAATATATGGCTTAAAAATGTCTTGGATAAATAAACAATTTTGACATTGGCTTTAATAAGAAAGGCGGTTGAAAACAGTTGACAGTTTGTGCAGTATCAGGTAAGAACTGGTATACTCTAAATACACAGCACAATAGGTAATATGTTTAAAGGTAAAATAAAATTTTACTTTTCTCCACTGCCTCCAAGTCTTGCGCGCGCCGGGCCCAGGGATGGAATTGCACTCGTGCGCAATAGTCTGCCACAGTTTCTGTGAGTCTCTATAGTTGAATTCTTGTGTTACTTTACAAGTTATTAATTGTGGGTGCTTCGTTACAAATTCAATGAGCTTCTTCTTTTGGCGGGCAGTTACATACATACCTCTCTGCCTTTTCCTCTCATCCATTCTATCAACAGAACAATGCACCCAGCATCGTAGATAGCGAAATCAACGGCCGGTAGAAACATTTACAGTTCGTAGTTTAATGTCCATTTCACCTTAATTTAGGATGCATTTTATAATACATCTATTGAAGTATTACCTCGTAACGAAATTTACTATATTATTGATGTTCTAACAAGCAAATAGCATGTTTTTATGTTTGATGTATTATTCTCATTTCATCAAGTTTAATACAATTTATAATTTCTAGAATAAGTACATCTAATTATTCTATATCATAGACGACTTCTATTATTTGAAATTAATAAAAACATTGATATTTCCTATATTAATAACAATAAGTTTAATCAAATTGAATAAAAGTATTATTTGCGGTAAATTTAATACCCGCATTGACATTGACAATCAATGACATGGGACTGGACAGGACAACTGACACATATCATCAAACAATGATTTCAATAGCATTCTTACCTATGAACCATAACTCAATATTATTCTTAGGTACATACGCTTGTTATTTAAGGTCTTATTGTAATTTTTATATAACTCATCATCTATAACTCTGACTAGAGAAAAATAACTTCAAATTAATTTTGCCTGAATGGATTATCCAAAGCCGTAATATTAGTCCTGTATTTAGCCGTCACTGTCAGTTTTATTTTTGACATTAGTTTTTGTTAAACTCAAATGTATTTGTGATCTGTGCTGTGTATAATATAATTTTGTATTTTATATTTTTTATGCTAAATTAATAATATCCAATGTCCGCCATTTACAATATAGTACCATAATTATTTATTTTAATATTATTTTACATTACTAACTATCAAAAATGCTGGAAAAGCATTATAGTAACTTTGTGAGGCCAAAGTCACCATTAGAAAGTGTGCATAAAGAAAAACCCACCCACAAATATTTAACAGGCGAAGAAGCCAAGCGACTTTATCTGGAAGAAGTTAAGGAAGTAAAAGATAGTATACAAAGGGACATATATGAGATTCCTTCAGCTAGAAGAGACAAACGAACTCGCGAATCTCAGATAGAAGAAATATCTGTTAAGGATTTGTTAATGTCGGTGCAAAACAATGATGTTGACACAGTGACACGAGTGCTTGATAACAGCCCAGATAAGATTAATATTATTGATGAGTACGGTTGGAGTTTACTCATGATAGCATGCCAGGCCAACTCTGTAGATACTGTTAAAGAACTTCTAAAAAGGGGCATAGATACAACTGTTAGAGATAAAGCTGGTAACTCGGCTCAAAGTTTAGTAATTAAGAACAAAAATTTTATTCTTGCTAATATATTGTTAAGTGACAAGAAATGTAAAACAGAAAATACTAACATATATAACAGTAATAAAAAGGTTAAATTAAAAGAGGAATATCTGTGTGAATTATGTAACAAGTTATTTACTAACAAGGCTGAACATTTGTCATCTACCATACATAATATAAATGCTAGTAAGGGCAAGAAAATACCAGCAAACTATGTTATTCCCGAAACAAATAGAGGCTACCAGTTGATGTTGAAAGTTGGCTGGGACAAAGATTCTGGCTTAGGGCCGGATGGTTCAGGAAAAAAGTATCCAATTAAAACAATTCAGAAAAAGGACAGAAAAGGTCTTGGTAGCGAAAGAAAGAAGGAAGATAAAGTAAAAAAGGAAATTGGTAAACATCAGAATAGAAAAATGGTAGCAACAGAATCTCACAGAAATAGAAGAATGGAAATAGACTTTAGAAGAGAATTTTACTAAAATTACCAAAAATAATAATATAATAATAATAATAAAATAAAAATTACCATAAATTGTTGAATTTGTTTTTTTCACCTTCTATATGAATGTAGCTTTTACTATTATTGTTAGTTTTTTAAAATATACAAATGTTTGCATAATTGCAGATTATATGATCTAAATATATTGCTTAACATAATTTAAAAACTACACTACTTAGCTTTCTACTATTTTACTAATATCTATATAGAATATGCTTTTGTTTGCATAATACAATGAAAGAAAATGGTTACATTTAAATATTAATTAAATCTGTACGAAAAATAGGCAGTATATGAATATACATATTAGTAAATAAAAATAAAAAAAAGTCATTAGTAAGTACCTAATAGTCAATAACTTATAAGCACTTCTATTCAATTCTAGATGAATAATGGAATTGTCATTATTATGAGATAAAAAAATATTACTATACTTTGATTATTATGTAATATCAAGTATTATTGTAAATCCAAAACAATCAAATGTATAAAAAAAATGAAACACAACTTCTAAAAATATTCTTTTAATTTCATAAGGCAGTGTGATTATCCTAAATGTAAGAACAATATCCAATTATCATTCTTAGTCTCAAATATGTCTTTCCAAACAATTACATGACTATTAACTTTAGTTTGTGTGGTATACTAATAAAAAATATAATTCATATATTTATATTCCATTAATTAAAACTGTACATTATGTTGTAAACTTGTATATATATTTTTGGAAAATATTGATTTAACATTATATATTTACATGTGTTGAAAATAAATAAAAGTATGTATTTAATGTAAAAAGTTAATAAAAGCAATTACATATTGTGAAATAAAAATTAAGTTTCCTATCTGTAACAGTTTGTGTCCATTTGCAGCTTATTGATTGGCAGCCTTGAATGTCATGGAAAACAGCAAATAAAATCTATACTTCATACAACATTATATTTCATATAACAATATTCGATAGAAGTTACATTTCCTGCATAACACATTTTTACAATAACACCTAAAGTAATTCTTAATAATAGTGATGCTATAAACATTGTTCTAAAATTTTCCTTATCATTTAAAAGCTATCAAAAGCCTGGTGCAACCCAATCGAGGAATTTAATAGCTAATTCAAATCCAACAAAACAGGCTGCATTAGCAGGGAAAGCCCTGATCATAACTGGCGCTACTCCTTTATACAGAGCTGTAGGTCCTTCCCTCTCCATAAGCTGCTTGAAGACATCTCTCATGCCATTTGGATATGTTCCCTCGGGAGCAGTCTGCAGTCTACTCTTCAGCACATCAGCTGGCATGCCCACTAGCCAGTTTGCAATACCAGCAAACCCACCTGCCACTATTGTTGCCATCATTTTCAATTTGGCACTAGCATCTTCTGGTGTAAGGACCTCTTTAACCCACTCATATGTCATAAAGTACATACCACTCGCTGGGACGTCCCTGAGTATGGTGGCGACACTGCCTTTATATATACTCCTCATACCACCCTCAGCATACAACTGCCTGGCACAGTCGACCATGCCATTATATTTTTGAGGAGCATTACCACCTTGTTGTATTTGAAGTAGACATTTAATACGTTCTCCTGGTGCCATGATGGACGTCGTGAAGATACCCGAGAACGCGCCCGCCGCGAACAGCTCAGGTTTTGTAAGAACTTGGTTCTCATCACTTTTTATTAGTTTTTTACCTAGGCCAAAACCAAAGAAACTAATAGCGAATATAGGCGCCACTCCGGTCAGCGGCGCCGACATGCCCTTGTAGAGGCCACGGAAACCTTCCTTTTGAATTGTTTTCTTGAAACAATCCCAAGTACCCCCATACAGGGCCACTTCGCCCGGCTTGGGTAACTCCATAGTCTGCAGTCTCACTTTTATAGTGTCCATAGGATGTCCAGCTAACACTGTACATACACCGCCAAACCCACCACTTAGAAAATATTTTATAGGAGAACTATTTTCAGACATATTTGCCTTGGTTCGTTCGTTCGCTTCGAAAGGGAAAGCAAGGTAAGTTGTCGAACTAGTCTACCAAACGGACCTGTGCTCACAGCACACCTGTTGAACTGTTTAATTTTGTTGATACTCTTGATACGCTGTGATTGATATTACTACAATCGATGTCAAAGTCCAATTGGTTATGTTGATTGTTGATCAAGCCAAGTTTAAATTTTAATAAATTATATCATTTCTATAATTATTTGTTTTATGAAAATGTAGGTAAAGTTATAGCTTCTGTATAAATTAATAAGAAAATAAAATACTTGTGCGTGCTTTTTACTTTTGAATTAAATATTAAATAAAAACAATATCTATTTATATTCTAAAAACACGAACGAAACATATATTTACTCTGAATGACATTTGTCATAGACGTCACTGATATCTGAAACTTGTAACACCGACTGTCAAATTGACATCAAGTCCTTGTTATTATTTTCACACAAGTAAAAAAATAGAAATCTAATTATTCTTTCAAAACGTAGACAGTATTAATATTAATAGTCTAAGTTTCAAAACCAATTTTATTTTTCTACTTACTGCAGTTTCTCAAATTCAAATGATTGTTTTATTTACCTTCTTATATAGTTTTAGAATATTGTTCAAAAACAACAAACAGTAAATTATACAATCCCAAAAGCCTGTGATAAAATGTAAACTTTTTCAATATATAGTTCGAAAATGATAATCGTATTATTGTTAAATAGAATTAAGATTTGTATTAATTTTTGCCTCGAATAATGTGAAGAACATTTTGATTCCTGTGCCTTTTAGTAATAGTGTTTTAACTTAATGAATGTTAAAATGAGTTGTACAAAAGAGGAAATTGAAAGGAAACGTCTAGCTGCATTACAGAAACGACAGAATAAAAGTGATCAAAATCAATCTCCAAATAATTCTACAATTGAAAGCACTAAATTATCAAGAGACACCACTCTATGGCATAGCCCAGGTCCTGTTAGGAATTCACATAACAATAGTAGAAACTTTCATCCATATGTTAAAGCAGGAAATTCAAATAATACAGAATCTCAGAACATTGTCCCTGTGGGCAAGGTGGTGACTGGTACTGTGTATTTGATATCTGAAGGTAGATTTGAAGTGAATCCTTCAGAGTTTTGCACACCACTTGTTAATGTATTTAAAACAATACCTTCTAAAAGTTATGGTGAGTGTTATGTATTCTGATATATTGCATGCCTAATAACAATCTGCATTAAGTACGAAAAAAAAGTATATATTATATCAGTATTATTATTCTTATATTAAAATAATAATGTTACATAGTTAATATTGGTATGTAGTACATTACTTGCAATAGGGGAAGGGGATTGTTGACCTCATTGCTAGCTGATGTTCCAGGCGGGGTTGACCATACTGTTCCCTCTGGAAACCATCATAATAAAGGAGTTGAACCATCATAATAAAGGACTTGTCATGATAGGTTAGGCTTGTTTTTACTGGATGACAATGAAATGATGCACCTGCCTGCGCTAACGGTTTACGCTGGTGGGACCCCAGTGGAGGATGATAGGATGAACATGAGGTCAGGTTAGTTAGCCCATCATGATAAATTCATCAAGAAATTTATGACAATGGTTTTCAGGGGGAACCGCGTGGAGGTCAACCTGACATGGTACATTGCTAGTAATGGGTTCATTAGTCTACATTACTAATAATCCCATTTCCCCCCATGATAGACTTAGGCATGTTATGATCATGATGATCAAACCTGACCTTATGTTTATCATATCGTCCTGCACTGGGGCTCGGCCAGCATAAACTGTTAGTGCAGCCAGGTGCATAAATCTATTATAATCAATAAAAAAAATAGGCCTCTAGTCACACTAAGAATTCCTTTCCCATGTCCACATTATATTATAAGAACAATTCATTTAATTTTCAGATGCAAGTACAAAGTTATGGAATTTCTCAATAAGTGATTATAAAGATCTGATGAATAAAGTGGCACACATGGCCCCCCATATAGTGCTGGGTCCACTACCACCATATGTCTTGAAGGTGAATTTCATTTTAACACATAAATCGCCATGTCAGTCATATATGTCTGATGCTAAGAAGTTCTACATGAGCCATGTCAGTCATATATGTCTGATGTATGTGATTTGGTAGAAAGTCACGGCAATCACAGATATCTGACACAAACAATACATTTTCATTATACATATATATATTTCATACATTTCATTTTCAGGTTTTGTTCCTCCTGCCAAGCTTGGCAGGAACAAATCTGAAAATTTCTTTGCTTATTACAAACTAATGACACTGCTTGTCGAGAAAATATAGTTTAAATATAGGGCTATGTCAGACATATATGTGTGACATACAAAAAAGTGTTTTTCTGGGAAATTTGTAAAAAAAAAAATCTGTGATACATTAAGTTTCCTTGATACATTTTTAACTAAATTATCTATTAAAGTTACCATGGCTAATATGAAAATTTTTCTGATGTTATTGTGGCGATTAACATGTTAATAATGGTTTTTTTGTGATAAATATTGTTATACAGTTATATACAATAGTTTTTCATACACTGGAATTTAATTTGATCTTTGACATAGACACTTAAATATGTAAACAATGTTAACAAACTGCGTTTTAAAAAATATATAAATTTATTTAAGTATCCTTGCCAGTATTTCTCAAGACTTAACTGGATGTCAAAGAAAGTATCAATGCAAGAAAACAAGAAAACTTGACATTCATAAACAACTAAAATGTAGAACACTAAACTATTAATATTACTACTAAATGTAGAAATAAGATGTAGGGCACATAAAGATATGATTGTTTGTTTTTCTGTTATAACAGTATATTGGAATTTAATGTAGTAATGGTAAAACAGATCAAATTCTAATATAGTAATTAATTAATGAGAATTAAAAAATATGTTATTTCAATTGCTCATTCTTTGTGAAGATTCTTTCTGCTTCATTTATTCATCATTTAAGAGTCTTATTCAAATTGTATTTAAACTTACCTTAAATAAATTTACCTTAAATATTAGTATAAAACTAAATATGTTTTGAAAATGATACTTGATAAAAATAATGTTTGATTTAATTATATTACAGGTTCTGAATGAGGAAATGTTGGACATAAACTCTGTTGACATATCACCAATAGAATCTACTATAAGACACAAGTTGATGCCATTTCAAGAACAAGGAGTCAGGTCAGTTCCTTATATATGTATATAGTAATGTAATAGTTATATCAACCCAAAAACAAATTAGAAAAGTCATAAAATTGAAACAAAGTGGAAATATGAGAATAAATTTTGAACTTTTCACAGAAACTATTCTTTCTATCTATATGGGATTAAAAAAAACCTAGGTATTCGATCTTTTAAACTCCAATATAGATTTTATATTACAAAAAAATAGTGGCTCTGTTTTAATTATATTATTCAAAAACTTAATAACTGTCTAGTATTATAAAATATCATATAATTTCAAAGTTACATAACATAACAAAAGATTTAATAATCCGAATTATACCATAGAGTTCAAATCTGATCAAATCAATTCTGCCTGACACAAAAACAATGGTGTGTCTATTTACATATTTAATTTAACTGAAGTGAAGCAAACATAAATATTAAACCACAAATTCATCTGAAGCAGGCTAGATTCCTATACATTACATTACATTGGATTAAAATATACCAAGAGAAATGTGGCCATGTCAAGTGTTTTGTTCGTCATAATATCAACAGTTGACAATGCTTAATCTCAGACTACCACACATGTAATGACAGTCTTGATGATGTTATATAATTTCAGATTTGGCATATCACGTCGTGGACGCTGCATGATAGCTGATGATATGGGCTTGGGCAAAACGTTTCAGGCTCTTGCCATAGCCAGCTACTACCGACATGACTGGCCACTACTTGTAGTCACTACATCCTCCATGAGGTAATTATATTATTTAAGTACTAGTGATATGTACAGAGTGTAGTACATAACAGTCAGCGCCGCAAAGTTAACGCTGCGGTAGTGAATGCCCAAACAGCTTATGGAGTATTGGTTATTAAGTTCTTTTATAAAATCATCAAATAATCAAATGGCAACAATAAATAAAGCAACTACACAACGCCGTCTATTCTGTTATTAATAAAAAAAATAATAAATTTGTGGATGGTGTATTAGTAATATTCTGAAAATTAATTATGCCTATTTTTTTCAATTTCCTTTAGCTTATGTGTTGTTATATAACAACATACAAACTAAAGGTGGAACACCATATTTAACAACATACTATATAAATATTTCATCATAAATAAAAAAATTGAATTGAATTGGCAGTTGATTTTGTTGCCAGTTCTTCTCAACTGAAATAGCTAACTGAACTCAATGGTGAATTCTGTGATAAAAAAATACTTGTATAGGTGGCCGGAAGCATCCTATATTAATTAACAATTTTAACTACTTCAATTTTAAATTTCTTCAATTTTAAATTTATTTTCACAGAGAGACATGGCAAACCAAGATCCATGAGCTTTTACCTTCGGTGCCATTAATGAACATAGTCACGTTAACTACAAGCAAAGATACGCAACTCGTGGCGGACAAACATGTATGTACCACCTAACATATTTATCTATCTTCACGACGTTTGTCTTATGGAGTGGGCAGAAATAATTCATTGTTTCACTTCAAATATTAATAACAAAAATTGACGTTTATAAGTGGCTAAATGATTTTTGATTTGATTTGATTTGACTTCTACTGTGTCCCAGCACACATTTTTTTATATTTCCCTGGCCTCTCTGACCTTTCTTCATGATTCATTCATTCTCTTAATTCTACGCGTCAAATTAAAAAAAGTATATATCTAATGATGTTATAATAAATATGTAATAATTATTACCCTTCATTCTGATAAATTTATTTTCAGACAGAAGTTGTTATTGTTAGTTACAAAATCACTGGAATGCATACAGATCTGTTGAAGAGCAAGAAGTTTGGTGTAGTTATTATAGTAAGTATATTGATTAAATAGTGTTGTTTTATTTATTGACTAGCTGATCCCGCGACATCGTCCGCGTGGAATTTAACTTTATATTTCTAAAATAAAAGTAACCTAAGTTACTCCTTATTACATCAGCTACCTGCCAAAAAAGTCAATATCGGCCCAGCCGTTTCAGAGATTAGCCGGAAAAAACAGACAGACAGACAAAAATTGTAAAAAATGTTATTTTGGTGTATGTACCGCATTTGTATTCATATGCGTGTAGTAAAAAACTGTTATTTCAATATTACAAACAGACACTCCAATATTATTTATATGTATAGATTTAATTACTAAAGCGAAAATGTGTAGGGTCACTGTATCACAGTTAATTAACCTATTTAGGAGGCCAGTTTCCCTACCTCTCGACTGTTAATATATGTTTATATAAATTTAATTTTAAACAAACTGTAACTACATTAACCTTTGGACTAAATAATTTTTTATTAAATTTCATAATTATTGTCGCTAATATCAGAATTGGCTTATAGCATTTTAGAGTAATTTTCAGTGATTTTAAAATTCAATCTACCTTCCAACCACACTTTTTTATTTTTATTCCAATTTGTTTATAAATATAAATCTTTTGTTATTCCGAATATCAAATCTGTCGATTAGTGGAAAAAGTTAATAAATAAAATTTCCTAACGGACAGGACGAGTCGCACTACTTAAAGTCTCACAAAGCTCAATGTACGGTGGCTCTGAATAGCATCACGCGGCAGTGCCGGCGAGCTGTCCTGCTCAGTGGCACACCTGCTCTGAGTCGGCCCGCAGAACTCTACACACAGTTGGCGCTCATTGAGCCGGGCCTCTTTGGTTCCTACACAGAGTATGGTAAGATTTTTTTATCTATGGATATAGGCCATCTAGTCCCAAATTGAGAAGCTGTTACTAATATTATAAACGCGAAAGTTAGTGAGTATGAATGGAGGAATGGATGTTTGTTACTCTTTCACGCATAAACTACTGAACGGATTTCAATGAATGTTTACAGTAATATAGTTTATATATCGGAATAACACATAGGCTATAAATATCACGCGGCTGAATCCTCAGACACTATTCCATACCATTCAATATTGAGTAAGTGATATCAAAACTTTTAAGTACTATTTTTAAATATGTAACATATCAAGACTGTTACAAAGTTGTTTGTGTTTTTAACTTTCTTGTTATAGTTTAGTGTGTTTTATTCTAACATATAATAATGTTTAATTATTAAAGTAATGATTTACGAAAAGGATTTCATGTGTTGTCTCCACCGTACCATTAACAATTAAATAAATAACCCTGAACAATTAATACAGCGCTATTAGTCCCAAAGTAAACTGAGCTTGTGTTATGGGTACTAGACAAGTGATATAAATACTTAGATTTTTTTGTAAATCCATACATCCATACAATGCCTGGGTGTTTTCTATGTATATTATACATAACAATCATACTACATACCAGGAATCGATCCCGCGACCATCCGAAATAAAATGGTGGAAAATGCACATCCGGATCACAGTAATGGAGACATGCATAGATAAATTGTCTATTGATATGCAGGTAAACGTTACTGCGCCGGTAAACAAACAAATTTCGGCTGGGACATGACAGGACAGTCCAATTCGACGGAGTTACAAATAATTTTACAAAAGAAATTCCTCATCAGGAGGACTAAAGAACAAGTGCTGACTACCCTCGAAGAGAAGACTAGGTATGTTTATTAGAAGTTTTAATAAATATGTGAAACAGATATTGTTAAGTTATTGTAAATTTTTATGTTTACTTTATTAGTAGTAGTTTAGAACTTAATAATTCTTCTTATTAAGAACTTAATAATAATTCTTAGTTTTTATTTAATGTTGTAACTAATCCTGAATAATGTTTAGATTATGTATATTTAAGTTTGTTATTGTCCAATCTTATTAGTTTGTAATCTTGTTATTGTGCGTTTTTATGTTTACTTTGTTAGTTGTAGTTTAGAACTTAACTTAATATACTATCGTCGTTGTCGATCTCACAGTGTATTATTTTACTGATAAAAGCTATAACAGAATAGCACAGAGGGTGGACTCACTGCCCTCACTGAGTTATAGACCGTTTTGTCTCCTTCATTACTTTTATTATTGGGCAGCAATTGTATTAGTTTTTGTCTGAGACAAAGATGATTATTATATTATTATATTGAAGCAGACAATTTAGTACAAAATCTAACGCGGTAAAATACGTTTATATATTGTCTTCTTATTATATTTATTTGTTTGTTTAATTCAGGGAATCAATACTATTGGACCAGACATTACTACAGTTCACCAACAAGAACCGAGAGGAACTGTCGCAAATGGCGGAGAAATACAAATCAACCAAGTCTGGGGATAAGCACACAGCACTTATCAATTACTTTAGCGAGTCCGCCAAAGTTAAAATACCGGCTATTTGGTGAGTGAACACTAACAAGGGGAGGGCACGGTGTGGGATATTCACTTCGGGACAAGACTCCGTGTAGTAGTAGTTTCCCATAAGGGTATGCAAACCCTAAAGAATTATTTCAGAATGGCCAGTAGTTTCGGAAAAAAAAAGTACATCCCGGGAATCAAACCCTGATCGTCCGCGTAGTAGGCTGAGGCACTGCTGACTAGGTCATTTTGCAGTTCGTGCTAGCGATGAAAATAAACTAAATAAGTTTACACGTGAAGTTTCTAAGGCTTATTTCTTCGAAACTACTGGCCATTCTGAAATATTACTTTAGGATTTGCATATCCTTATGGGAAACTACTACTACATGGAGTCTCATCCCGAAGTGAAATAGTGTCTAGTACCTGTCTAGTGTATTTACCTAGTCTAGTACCCATAATACAAGCTCTGCTTACCGTGGGACTAGATGGCGCTGTGTTAATTGTTCAAGACTTATTTATTTATTTAATTCCAGCAAGTACATTAGACAGTTGCTAGCGGATGGGAGTACCGGCAAGTTCCTGGTGTTTGCTCACCATCGCAACGTGATTGAGGCGGTGTGCCTCACGCTGGACGAAGAGCGGATTAACTACATCTGCATAGTAGGCTCCACGCCGGCCAACACCAGAGCGGTATGTAACTAATTATTACAATGATAACCTCGGTGGTCTAATATTAATCTTATCTTAATCTTAGTCATATTATAAACGCGAAAGTTTGTGAGTATGGATGTTTGTTACTCTTTCACGCAAAAACTACTAAACGGATTTTGATGAAACTTTACAGTAATATAGCTTATGCATCAAAATAACATATAGGTTATATTTTTTTTATTAAAATTTAATGCCGATAAAACCGCAGGCACAGCTAGTGATATTATAAAAGCGAAAGTTTGTGAGTATGGATGGATGTTTGTTACTCTTCCTTACTACTGTAGCGCTGTATATGATGTGTCGCTACTTAATGTATTTACATCCTGTAGTATCTACGTAGTATGAGTATACAGGTGTAATAATTGAATTACAGTATAAATTTATTTGATAGTGTGCTACATGGCTTATAAATAACGCGTACACTACACGTACATAAACGTCTAATTTAGGAGTCATAAACAAGTGCAAGGATGCCGATTGTTGACAGAAATATTACAAGTGCATGCACAATGTTATAATAATCCATGTATTGTCCAGGGATATACGTAGAATGATGTTTCCCAGGACCTAGTGGACAGGTTCCAGCACCGCGAGTCGTGTCGGGTGGCGGTGCTGTCCATAACTGCAGCCAGTGCTGGTCTCACGCTCACAGCGGCTGATCTCGTACTATTCGCAGAACTGCACTGGAACCCTGGGGTATGCACCGACTGTTCATAAGACTGTTTTGCAAAATGCTGAATTTAAATATGCCAGCGATATGATAACACAGTAAGGAAGTTGTTAATAATGGATATTTTTTAATGAATGATGATGAAATGGGACTCACGTCTCGCCCAGATATGACACAAGTCGAGTATAAAATGATAGGATAAACATGAAATCATGTCAGATACAGCAACAGTATAGCAAATTTGCCATGAATTTACCCGAAGATTTCTAGTGGGTATTGTTACTACATTTCTAGGAATGGGACCTCTAGTTCCCATACCCAAGTGTTTGGTATGGTTCCTACATTGCTAGCAATGGGACCTCTAGTTGTGTTGGTGGTTACTACATTACGTGCAAAGGGACCTCTAGTACTCATTACTACTTGGGTGTCGTGGTTGATACTCAGCGAGGGTGGTGTGTGGTGTCCAGATCCTGACGCAGGCGGAGTCTCGCGCGCACCGACTGGGGCGGCGCGGCGCGGTCGTGGCGCGGTACCTGCTGGCGGCCGGCACCGCCGACGACCTCATGTGGCCGCTGCTGCAGGGGAAGCTCAATGTGAGTGTTGTGACCGGCCACCGGTGGTGGTGGTGGTGGTGGTGGTGGTGGTGGTGGTGGCGCGGTACCTGCTGGCGGCCGGCACCGCCGACGACCTCATGTGGCCGCTGCTGCAGGGGAAGCTCAATGTGAGTGTTGTGACCGGCCACCGGTGGTGGTGGTGGTGGTGGTGGTGGTGGTGGTGGTGGCGCGGTACCTGCTGGCGGCCGGCACCGCCGACGACCTCATGTGGCCGCTGCTGCAGGGGAAGCTCAATGTGAGTGTTGTGACCGGCCACCGGTGGTGGTGGTGGTGGTGGTGGTGGTGGTGGTGGTGGCGCGGTACCTGCTGGCGGCCGGCACCGCCGACGACCTCATGTGGCCGCTGCTGCAGGGGAAGCTCAATGTGAGTGTTGTGACCGGCCACCGGTGGTGGTGGTGGTGGTGGTGGTGGTGGTGGTGGCGCGGTACCTGCTGGCGGCCGGCACCGCCGACGACCTGTTGTGACCGGCCACCGGTGGTGGTGGTGGTGGTGGTGGCGCGCTGCTGCATGTGGCCGCTGCTGCAGGGGAAGCTCAATGTGAGTGTTGTGACCGGCCACCGGTGGTGGTGGTGGTGGTGGTGGTGGTGGTGGTGGTGGCGCGGTACCTGCTGGCGGCCGGCACCGCCGACGGTGGTGGTGGTGGTGGTGGTGGTGGTGGTGGTGGCGCGGTACCTGCTGGCGGCCGGCACCGCCGACGACCTCATGTGGCCGCTGCTGCAGGGGAAGCTCAATGTGAGTGTTGTGACCGGCCAGCGGTGGTGGTGGTGGTGGCGGTTGTCATGGAACGGTACCTTAAACCAGTATTCAGTCTACCACTTGTATCACGCTTGCAAGCTGTATGACTTCTCGTGGTTGTGCAGCACGAATGGCTCTGCTCTAATTGGAATATACCACACTTCTTCAGAATATTTCTTCCGGACGCCGATCCTCCGTCTTGTTCCTTTTGTATGTATAAAAAAAGTAGAAAAGTAGTTAATATTTCTGTCAGTTGTCTAGTACCTACAACACAAGTTCTGCTTGACTTGGAACTAGGTGGCGCTGTCTGAATTGTCCTGATTTATAATTATAATTAATTTTTTATTATTGTATGTTCTACAGGTATTAAACAACGTAGGTCTCAGCAAAGACACGTTTGAAGACACCACTGTGAAACATCAAGTAAGTATATACATCTAGTAGGCTTTTTATGTAGCTTGAATAGCAAACAACGTCAGCTCACCTGATGGTAAGTGGTAACCGTCGCCTATATACATGAACAGCGCTGCGAATATCATGTAAGCATGTGATGACCATGATAAATATGCTATACTGTTACAGCAAAATTATATGCAGTTTTTCAAAGTTACAACGCGCCGTTTACTAATTTGTCAGTCTGCCTTACGGTTGACTGGTAGAAAACGCCCTTAGGTGTTGTTCAACATATATACATTTATATATTGTATTTGTACAATCAAGTTTATAAAACTAAATAAATACAATGTGATTTCTAAAATCCATATTAATTTTATATGATCACGTTTTATTTATAACTGGCTACTCGCCTAGCTACCCATCTTCGCACGGGTATATGTATTATATATAAACCTTCCTCTTGAATCACTCTATGTATTAAAAAACCGCTTCAAAGTCCTATGCGTAAATGCGTAGTTTTAAAGATTTAAACATACATAGGGACGGACAGCGCCAACGACTTTGTTTATAACGACAATACTATGTAATTATAATGAAGAAGCCGTATAAATACTTTTATCTCTAAGATGTCATAGGAGCCGGCTAGGGAAATAATGCATACCGCTATCAGTGTAAGACAAGGAAAAGTTAAACAAAGCTCTATATCAGGCCGTTTGGCCACCATGGTAATATCCATTCACCACATGAAAGACCCGCACAGGACAATGGGTGGTTGGTGGTGTATTATTGTATTATATACAATAATTTGAAGAAACCACAAACAATACTACATTATACAATCATACAGATACATACAAGACAAAACGTACATAAATATTGAAATAACCGATTATTTGCACTTTAGTCGGCAAACAGGATCTGAAATCTTATTAGATGTTTACTTCACGCAGTGTTTTGTCGAATTTTTAAACGACTCAAATAAAATTAAAACAATTTAAATACAAAAGCATTTTTTGTTTTCTAGTCAGATTATTGTTACAGAAGATAATTTGTTTAAAATTTATAACTAGTTTCTTTTAATTATATATTAGTATAGTAGATATATATAATATAGTATTGTAAAAAAATATTAATATAAACAGATTTTTTTATTAAACATGATGGGAATTAAACTTGTGTTCAAATTTTTCAGCATTTATTTGTTTGAGAGAATAATAGACAAATTATAAATATTCACAAAATCTATATAAAAAGTTTATTATCACTAAAAGTATTATTAACTGAGACTTTTACATTCAAATCAAATCAAAATATCTTTATTCATGTAGCTCTATTACAGACTCTTATGATATGTCAAATCTACCGTCAGTGCTTTCGCTAAAAAGAATTGACAAGAAACTCACCTCTTATTATTTTCAAAGGAGCTTGTTCTCGTACATGATTACAAAATACAGATTCATTTTTAAATTCCATTAGTGCGAAAACTCTGACCACTAGCATATGCTATTGCATTTTTGTCAAAAAGAAATAATATGATGGCTGTAACACGGACAACGAACAAACCAGTTGTTTATTAGTACATACATACACTACTGTAAAAAAATGTACTGATATTATTACGTTTTTCACCAAGACTTCAATTATAAGACAAATCGTAGAAAATGTAACTTTAAAAGGTTTTAAGACATGTTTTTATGCAAATATTTTTTATGTAACGCGATGTGTTGAACTTTGTTTCTTTACACATTGTAGCCGTAAATGTGTTGATGCAAATGATATGTTTTTATTTCAGGACAGCAGAAATAATATATCTCAATACCTTAGTCCGAGTACTGTAAAAAACAAATCAGATTACATTCCGGGCACAAATATACGAAAAATCTCAACTGACACATCGTGTAATATGAGTTTACAAACACAAAATGGTGATAAGACTGATTGTAACGGTATCTCTGATGATGAGAAACTTGCTGATGCGTTCGCTGAAGACTCATTTTTTGATGAAGAAGGTGATGAATTATTAGCTAACATTGATTTATGATGTACATACTCAATAATTGTTGTTTTTTGCAAGTGGATTATATTTATTTAATTGTATTTTGTAGTTTTATTCATTGTTCTTTTTATTACGTTTAAATGTTTTGGATTATGTTATATTTTTTTTTATTATTCAATCTTTTTGATAGTATTTTTGTTCACCAAAAAAAATTAAGTTTGTTCTATGTAAATTGGAATTATTTAAAAAAAACGGGAGACTAAAACAAAAAAATGTCCATATTACACATTTAGGGCGTATTGTTTTAAATTCTGACTGAAGTCAGTCATATCTTGAAAGATACAATGTTATAATAAAGAATCATCGAAAATAGATCAACTGTATCATCGTTATTAGTTATATCTACATAAAAAAATGTAATTCTGTCATGGCGGTGTGTTTTTGTCTATAGTTTACTGTCGTCGATACATGACGTAATTCGTTCTAGAATCACCAAGATTGTGATAATTTCGAAATGGTGGTATAAGGAAATGGTTGCACAAGTGCTAATAATATTGACCATGAGCAGATCTAAAAACTAAAAAGATACTTCTTATGATATAATATACTATGTATGTTCTGTTTCATTGATGATTTTTGTAAAGGTACAATAAAGAGAAATAAATAAAAAAAACAAATTAGAATGATACACTGTGCTAATGATTTTTTTTCGAACTATTCTAATGCTGTTGGTCGCAACTGGCCTTTACAGCTTCACATAACGATAATAGACAAGTGGAGATGCCACTCCAAACCTGCGGAAGGACTTATAGTGCATCTTTACTATGGGTATGAAGAGATAAGAATAAGCTTACATATTTCTATAAAGCTTAGATCGAATATTTATATTTTTTTAATAATTGCTAAATTTCATAATAATAGTCATAATGGTTTAAAGAATTTCTGAAATTGACAATTTTATTACTTTAACCATGTTAGTTTACTTTTTTATATCTACTCAAAACACATAAAGAAATAAAAAAACTAAATTCCGACTATTCAAAAATACGATAAAAGAAATTATTCTCAACTGAATTTTTTATAAACTATTAGCTGACCCGGAAAACGTTGTTTTGCCATATAAATTAATAACGCTATAAAAAGGGGTTGGTGATAGAATGGTGATAATTTAGGGCTGTATTTTTTAATGCCACTAATTAAAAAAAATAAAAAATAAAGATAATTTTTTTATCGAAAAATTGTAAAAAATTTTTTGGGGTAAGCCACCCTTAACACTTAGGGCTATAAAAATTTGTTATAAATCTATTCTCAGCCTACTGAATATACATATAAAATTTCAACAAAATCGGTCGAGCCGCTTCGGAGGACTATATACACGAAGCCTGTGACTCTTGAATTTTATATATTATATTAGTTTTAGATACGTATCCAATCAACTAAGTATTAAAACAAAAATATAGAATAAATAAATTTATGTGTAGGTACTGGTACTTATTCATAAAAAAAAACATTGTATCATCATTAATTTTGTTGGTAATAATTCATAAAAACAATATAATTGTAACAATATTTTAACAAGAACGTAAATTTAGATAATTATTCACTAAGGGTCGTGAGTTCGCATTCAGAGACGTCACACTGTAATATTACGTTATCACTGTTATATCGAACGACGGCCTTGATGGTCTAGGTCGCGGGTTCGATTCCGAACAAACCGGTTCGATTCCGAGAGTACAAACATTTGTATTCATGATTATGATTTTTTATGTATTCGTCTGGGTGTCTTCTATGTATATTATGTGTGTATTTACAAACAAAATAATTAAATATTTGGACCCTGGACTAGATGGCATAGCGCCATCTAGTACAGGTCAGTCCAGGGAATTGTACATTGTTATTATTATAACCTACTGATTTAAAATTTCCTTCTAATTTGCGTAGTCACACAATACTTTTGCGGCAAAAGTTTTAATTAAGTTATTATCTTACTTTATTTTAATAAACTGGTAATGTAATTCCGTATTTTTCTATATAGATTTATTTTATCACAATATAATTAATATTAAATTGAAAGAAAAAAAATTGTTTATTTGGTACACTAAAAATAATAGTTAAATTTACATTTTATCGGTTTATATTAATTTTACAGTACCAAATAGGTCTCCGCTCAGCATATGTCGTGGGGTGGGGTGGGGTTCCACGACGCTGGTTTTCTGCCTGTTTTCTTTAAATTGGAATAACCGCTTTGAGATTATATTTCTCTCTGTCTGTTTAAATATATTATGAAAATAAAATTCAAACATAGTATGTTAAAAGAAGGAAAAACTATATATAAGTATACGAAATAAAAGTATATATATATTGGATGTCATTTAATATATATTTAATCTGATAAGGAGAGATTTGTTCACAAAAGAATGAAGACAGAACTCTTATGTATATTATATATATAACTATATATTCAGATATACAGATTTTAACCCAAAGGTTTCTATAATAATTTGATATCTAACTATTCATAAAACTGAATATGTATTTTTCTTTAGAATACTCATTTTATATGTTCTCACACATTTTTAAGTGATAGCAAATACCTATCGAAGTATAATTAATATTAAATTACGTAACTTAATCTCTACAGATAACTCGTTAATAAATAGTATAGACAGATAAACAAGTTCATGGACGTTGGAATAAATCTAAAATAAAAGCGATGAATGACGTCAGCATGCTTACAACGATAAAAAAATAATTGCAGGCCATAAGCCAATATGCCCAATCCGTCCACACGACACTAAAATATAAAGATCACAAAAATATTGCAACATCCGAGAGAGAACAGACTTTCGAATCGCGCTTCTAGAATCGTCTCGCACCTATCGCAAACGTAAACACTTGCATCATACTTTAGTTCACTGTTCACATGGGCCCTCTCTTGCTACAGTCGTCTGTTGACCTCTGCATTTCATTAAACATATGTTGTTATATGTACGGCCATCTGAACCACATACGGGCTTCAGTTCGCGGGTACAAGAGCACGGAGGGATGACGTCATTACCGGGGACCACTTTGACGTCGCTGCTGCAGGGTCCGAAGTGAGCGATACTCAGTGAGGGATTGAATTGTGTAGCGCAGTTCAGCATACAATCATTGCTGTATGTAGCTCCGTCAGAACCGCAGACAGGTTGCTTTTCCTTCGTGCAAGTGCACTGTGGAAGTTGAGCTACTCGTACGGGCTCCGCGCATTCTCCTTGGTAAGCGAATCGCACTGACGCTTCGCAGTTCAAATTACACATATTCGAATACGTTTTTCCGTCAGAACCACAGACGGGTTTGTATTCAAAAGTGCATATGCATACGGGTCGCTCTGTAGACTCGCAAGGTCCAGATTGCCTTAACGTGAGTGCCCTGTTGGTTACTTGTGCGCAATTTAACATGCATTTGTTGGAGTATGTCTCGCCGTTAGATCCGCAGACGGGGCGGTAGTCTCTGGTACAAACGCAGGGCGGCAGGGCACTCGCCGAAGACAGGTATAGCGCGAGCAGCAATACTCCTGTAATTTAATGAAATTTTAATGCTTAGTATGAGGACTTAGAAATATTTGGTATATACTATATTTGAATTTATATGGTAAATGGATCAAAATTATTTGTACTTTGTCACAATAACATTTATTGGTAAAGTAGGTATATAAAAATGTTTGGAGTTGTCACTAATGTTAAAATAATAAAGTACTAAAGTGTTTACATGTATTAATTATACCCGCTATATTATCTACTTTTTTTTAGACTTAACATAGTCTAAGTCTGTTCTTATAGAACAATCTATCTTTGTGTTACATTTTATTAAAATCCGTTCAGCCGTTTAGTCGAGAAATGCTAACAGACGGAGAGACATACATTCGCTTTTATAAAGAAGTATATTTAAATAAAACCCACGATACTCTCTAATAATGTAACTTTCTATAATTACAAGATATTTTAAATAAACCTAAGAATTTTTTGTGTTTACTTATAAACAAAAAATTATTGTCCTTAAAAATAATAATTTAGACAGACAAATTATATTGTACACTGTAAACGTAGTACAGCCCGTTCTGATTCTCCTAGTGAGTCTCCTATCCTTCATGAATATTGGAGACAGTGTGAACCATTATTATGCTCTTTTACTTTTAAATATGATTACATATAAAAATACTACTGTTTGATTTTACGGTTCAAAAACTGAACTTAATGAATATTGATACGGATATGGTACCTAATCAAAAAAAGGGCGGACATGGACACATAATATTGCTATTTTTTTTACATTAAAATATTAGTGTTACTGTATATTATATATTTTCCTAATTTTGTATTGAAATAAAATTCAGTAACTTGTATTTTTTTTTTCATTTCCAAATGAACTGAATGACCTTTCTTAGTGAGATCACTTCTTCGTTCGAGTTTCTAAAATAGTATATTTATAGCAATAAAGTTATTTCTCAAATTAAACTGAAACAATAGAACCATAAACAATCGAATCTAATTTCCACATGGCATTACTGTTGAGGAAAAGGTCCTGCAAGAAATCTACCACTGATTTACTAGTAACTACAGAAACAAATAAATTTAAAGAAATAATTATTTCAGATATAGGTATATGTCATTAAAATTCAATCAGCGTTGTTAATGTAAAATTATGAATAAAATTTGATTTAGAAAGATTTACGAATTAATTAATTATATCAAAACCCATTTTAGTTTAAATCAAACACCACTGTTATTTATTATTATTAATTAATTGTTAAAAAAAGGATCGTTTGCATCAATTAATTGTAATTTAATCCACTAACTTACCGTATTTAAACATCTTGACTGCAAAAATATAAAAAACAAAATTAAAAAAAGTATTTGTTTCAAATTCGAATTTCGAATCGTAGTTGAAATGTATTAATATTAATATTTAATAACCGGCCGTGTGGCACGCTTGTCGTGTTATGGTTGTTGCGGCGAGCTAGTGTTGCTTATATACGTAAATACAATTTACCTGCATTGACAACACGCTTTTGACATCATAGTCGTGATTCCCCGTGCGTCAGAAGAGTGGATGATTACAAAAATCTGGGTTAAATAAAGCTTGTTAAGTTGGAAGTGACGTAGTTCGAAATTATTTCAAATTTTCAGGAAATTTATGAAGCCTTCGTAACGCCCGCGTCATTTCAAACAAAATATTTTTGAATTGAGGACATCTTTTTTTTTTTATTGAAATGGAGGTAATCGTAATTTTTAAACAATGATTGCCTTGATTACTATTATTTTACCATGTATTATGTTATTAAAATCAATAAAAGCACTTTTGAATAGGCAATTTTTTTATTCTTCCACTCATACGGGGTGCAGACTTGTCACAAAAAGAATAAACAAGAAACTTGCGTATTGTTCTTTTAAATGAATGTTGCTCAACATTCAGGTTTTTTTAAGATTCTGCGTGAATACAATGCCAAATAGCAAAATTGATAAAAGTAAATAAATGTAACATCATTGTTATAACGTACCCTTCAACTGGAAAACGAATTAGCGATTATCAAATTATAAAGCAATTTGTACATACCAAATTTGTATTTATATATTATTTATTTAAACTGGCTACACAAAATACATATAAGAACCAATTGATGCTATATTTTTCGTGTTTTATATGCGGGTCGCTGATGATACTTTAATGGTATAGAGGACTTAAAAGGATTTTTTGTCATTAATAATAATGGACTGGTTTTCTCGACTGTACTAATGATATACGCTAGAGCGTATATCGTCAGTGGAACAAGAGATCCTGATCAGGATCTCTTGTTCACGCGGTCCTCCCTAGACCATGGGCTAGCTAGCCACGTAGAGATCGACTAATACGTTTAAATTACGTGGGAATTGAACCCGCGACCATCTAAAGGAAAGGCTGTGCTAAGCCACTACACTGCCGAGGTCGACATTAATCTGATTATTTACAACAATTACAATACATATAAAAACAAATTGTTGCTATATTTTTTACGTTTTATATGCGGGCTTGCCGATTACGACGGCACTTTCACAGAATGGTGGATGGTATAAATGTTGAGCATTGTCAGTGATGAGGTTTTAAGTAAATATTTTTTCTTATGTACCTATAGTTTATTTATTTAAGATTTATTTTCTATATAATGACAATTTTTAATTTATATTTCAAGTTTCATTAATTTTGTTTCTTTATATATGGTCCTTTATATATGTGAGTAAAAGCGTCCTCGAACTTGTTCCATGATTTTCTATTTGTAGCTACACTTATCCAATTTTCTCCTGCTATTTCTTTGATGTCATCGGATTAAACATTTTCTCTGTCTACCTCCTCGCCTTTTGCCTGCCGGGCCTGTATCTGTTTTGTTAATTGGTGAGCGAATTTGTTTCTTAATATATGTATTTTCTATAGCTTTAGTATACTTCTCTGTATTACATGCTGACAGGTAGAATTTCGTTTTCTATTTTTTCAGTACATTTGTTTGGCTTGCATAAGTTAAGTTTGGCAAGATGCAAGAATTATATATAGTTAACTACATGTATATATATTATACATATCAAACTTTGTCTTGAATCACTCTATCTATTGCTAAAACTGCATTAAAATTCACTACATTGTTTAAAAGATCTAAGTGAACAGACAGCGGAAGCGACTTTATTTACTATTAATGATAACCAATCAGTGATACTCATGCGTTGCCATTCCAGAGCTTATTATGATATCATGTCAGGAATCCTGCCATTCATTCTAAACTCATAACAACAGTCAACAATCTATAAGACATACATATAAACAAGCAAGTAATTTCAAGAAAAAAATAGGTAAAGCTAAATTGCGTCGCTAATTACTAAGTAGAATAAATATTTTTAAAAATAGTTCCGAGTAGAGTATGTTGTGATAATGATTTAGCCAATGTCACACGTATTACATAATGTGTCACAGTTATTTTAAGCATTTCAAATGATTCCCACGATATAAAACAAATACGTGACAAATTCACAATGAACGGAACAACCGCGTATTTATAATCACATTCACAGGGAATCAATAAATGACGATATAAATGAACGAGCTTGATATCAGCTTGTTTACTTGTTTTGTAGGTTATATTTTAGTTAAAAAAAATTAACTATTATAATGCTGTAACTGGCCGTTACAGCTTTAGAACAGAAAATGGTGGCGAGAGCAGAGAACACCCTAATCCACGAAAGTTTTACAGAGTGGTTGAAGACTATTTTATTAAGGCCGTTGCACGCCACTTCCTATATAGTTAACCCCTAAAAGAATATAATTTGAAATAATATGTTATTTTGAAAAACATCTTATTTACAATATTACAGAACATGTAAACCAAAATGTAATAGTATTTTAATTATGATTCTTAATCATATTGTGTAATGTGGACGTATTTAATTAATGTAATGTAAACTTTGGGTAAATATCATAACTGTGTAATATAACTTACCGTATATATAAAGAAGGTTTTTACATTGGTTAATAAACGAAACAAAATATAATTTTGTTCCCATTGAAATACGATCGTAGCGTGTGCACGACGCACCTCTTTACATATTATTTATGTTTTTTTACCTATTATTTATTATAGAAAATATATATGTCATTATTTTACTTTTGTACATAAAATTACATTATTCCTTCCTAAAGACCCTGTTTACATAATTATATTTATCCGCCCAAAATATATGTATCCAGTCCTTCGTTCACAGAGCGGATAAATCGGCTCCGATCGATCTTCTGTCTCGGTGTGTGTGAATGAGACTTCATTAAAGTAAACCGACAGACTTTATTATTTATTCACACATTGATGTACACGAGGTACATCCCAGATATTATTTCTATGGAATAAAAAACCAGACAAGAGCATCTCGGTATAATTGTGAGATGTCAATTTCGATTATGTTTTTTTTTAAGTTTTAACATACAAAACCAAATTATAGATTATTTATTTATATAGAAGATATTTTTGTCGTTTTATACACGTAATGTTTTTGTAGCTATTCCTTATGTTATTGCTAGTATAGTATTTTGTTCTAGAAATATGAAATATAATATTTCTTAAAAAAATATTCAATGATGTAATGTGAATATCAATATGAAGATAAATTATAATTTAGATTTAGACTAATTATAATTTGGTGAAAGTCGTTTAATTCAAAATAATAAAAGAGTTGAAAAGTTATAAAATTGAAAGTATGTTCTGACTTGTGACTGTCACAACACTTTCGCGCCAAAAATAAAAATAAATCTATACTTTTTATTTAATTTATCTATCATACTTAGATTATGTTTTTACTAATACACCATTGATCGATATTTCGTCCCATTGAAACCGACATTGATATCACGGCGGTCTTAGCCGAGGTTCGAACACCCATAGCGTTACCCTCGGACTGAAGTCGTAACTGTCAGGCAGGATTTGAACTTCAGCTCTTCCATAAGTCCTTCCGCGGATTTAAGTGTGAGAGTGAGTTATCGGGTGAGAGAGTCTTCTACACTTTTTGCCTCCCGTGAGGCCGTAAAGGCTAGTTACAGCCAAAGCGTCAGAAAATTCGACAACAAAATACTACTATTAAATAACAACTGAATGTAACTTCATTTATTTGTATGTATAATCGAGTACTGTTAATACCTGTTTACATAATAAACCGTTATGTACAATATCTACACAGATAGTATTCAATTGTTACCTACATCCTGAAATACCTGTTTCGAATATAGGTACAATCAACATCCTGTAATGTCATTGAATCAACAACTTATCGTACAATTAATATTATAATCATTATTAAAATTAAACGTAAAAATTTAGATTAACTTTCGCGGTTAATTCATGATTAATTTGTTTTAATAGACTAACCTGTCCTCAGGCCCATCAATCAGGCTTTGGAGCATCAATCGTGTATGATTAACTTAAATTTTATTGTCGTCTCGGTTAATTCCTGATGAATTTGTCATGATAGGCTAACCTGCCCTCAGGCTCATCAGGCTTTGGAGCACCAGTGGAGTTTGATATTCCACTGGTGCCCAAAGCGCAGATGGATGCACCACTCCATTATGATCAATACAAAAAAGTAAGAAACTATTGTCGACCTCGGTGGTCTAGCGATTTACTTGCAGTCGCGGGTTCAATTCCTTGCGAAATGCATCAAACATTTGTATTAATGAGTATAAGTGAGTATTGGTACAGGTGTTTTCTATGCATTTTATGTATGTATTTACCAACCAAAACTGCATTTGAATATTTAACACAACCAAGCTCTGTTTTGCTTGGGACTAGATGGCGGTATGAGTAGTTATTATTATTATTATATATTTTTAACTATTTCGTGAAGTTACATTACTTTTGTTTATTGTTATGAATATAATAGGCAAAAGTTATACTTTTGGGGATTCTACGAATCAATTGATTCGTATTTTATTAGTAAATTTACATTACGTATACATGCTTATTTATTATATGTACCTAGTAACAATTGTCAAAGTAAACACTATAGTTATTAAACAGATAATATTCGTGGTAACTCGAAGGAAAATCATCATCTGCTTCTTCCTTATCCCATTTATTTGGGGTCGGCGTAAAATTAATTTCAACGAAGGAAAATGAAAACCGAAGGCAGACGTTTAAATTGTAAATATTGATTGTTTGATCTCAATTATTGGTATTGTATATTGATTTATCTTCCTTCTTCACGTTTGTCCATGATGACGCGTACAGCGAAGTAAGGCGAATCATTTCGAGTTAATAAGGTCGAGACTTCATTTATCAGTTTTTTATGTAAGTAAAATGGAAAACAGTCATGACGGCCAACACCGGTAAGTGGAGATTGATGTCATACTTTTTATCTGCCTTATTTAGCCCTTTAAATAAAACGCATCTTACAAAGCAAGCAACTTGCAAGTCGAATAAG